CACACACACACACACACATACAGCTTTCAACTTACTCTCTTAATGTACATATATTGCAAAGTCCAAACTATGAAGTCAACCTAATTTTAGCCCACAATTACTTCTAGATGATACCATGGCTAACTGAAACTGGGTTGAATATGTCCTATGGAAATGAATATTTTGCTTGATGGTTAATTTGTTAAAATTAAAGAGCCAGAAAAAGTAAAAAGAGATGTTTTATGTTATGGAACTGGAATAGTGTGAACTTCTCTTTGAAGTTCATTAGGATAACAACTGCATTTCTCAAACCAAAGTTCTCAGCTGAAGGAAAATTTGTAATTGACAGCACTAAAGGTGTATATAGGGAGTTAAAGCAGATCACATCAGACAGCATCTCCGAAGCAGTCCAAATGGGCTTCATTCACCTCATAGGCATTATGAAATGCCTTTTTTCTCACATAGGAAATACAATTGATCAAAATAACATTCTTCCACATAATACATTTCCATGACATCCATTAAATATAATTATAATCACAAACTAATAAAACCACTGAATTTGCTGGAAATGTTTCTTAGAATCAATAGTTTACACTGTTTACAAGATAAACTATGCACAGAAAAATGGTAAATATAACTACACAAGAACAAATTACTATTATGACTATTTATGGCTTACATTTCAGAGAAATGTACTTTTGAAAAGAAATCCAAGCTAAGCAATCTAAATAAGGCACAGAAATAAGATGAATGCATTCTTTCTTCCCTCATCCTTGTCTCCATAATCTCTTCAGATGGGTAGTGCACCTTCAATTTTCAGGAACTGAGGTTTCAAAATGAATGAGTTATTCTTCCTTTTGCCAAGGAGCTAAGAGTCTACTGGAAGTGAACTACATAAATAAGTGTGCAAGTAAGTACTAAGAATAATGCAGAAAAAGGTTCTCAGAGAAATAATATGCAAGTGGCTGTTAGAGAAGTTGATGAAATCCTCAAGGAAATTTTGGCAGCTAGACAGTTCAAGACAGGTAACAATGGTTAAAAGAGCAGAAGGCCCAGAGACCTGTCAAGGGGAAATACAGAAGTAGCCTTGGGCAATGGGAATAGTTGGCATGTTGGGGAGAAGAGACTGAAGCATCTGGAAAAGGAGTTAGGGAACAGAAAAGTCTGGAATGCTTTCATTATTGCCAATTTGAACACATTTTCCTTAATATCTACAGAGATCATGTTAACTTTCATACATAGACATTTTGCCTTCTTCAAAAAGTGGTGGACCAGAAGAAAGAAAAGAAATTTAAACAGAAAGAATGCAATGACTTAGAAATACATCTAAGAAAGGGATTACAGATGCTTAGGTACCTAGTTATCTTTTGGCAGTTTCTTCCCACAAGGCTATGTCTCTCAGTATGAAATTGTCCTATTCTATTTATCTATTTTAAGTTTTACTCAGTTTTCTCAGGTTTCTAAAAGGTAAATTTGCTGTAAGTTGAGAAGCAGAAAAAATTAAGAATTCTAAATCTTTTGTTTTCCTTTAACAGGACAAAGTAGAATACTCTGGACACATTAGAGAGTTGCTAATAGAATTAAAGCTTTTCTTGTACATTTGCATGCTACCAACAGGATTTTTAATCCACCAAAGCATTGCAAAAGAGTATTTTTGGTATATTTTGTGCCATTTTTGGTCAACTTTTAAATATATATATATATATATATATATATATATATTGTTTTGTTTTGTTTTGTTTGTTTGTTTGTTTGTTTGGTGGTACCAAGGATCTAACTCAGGACCTTGCATTTGCCAGGCAAGCACTTACTCAACTGAACTATCTCCCCAGCTAAACTACATATATCATCAAGGCAAATGCAATGCAAAACCATTATTAACAATGGCTTCAGTTTAACTTTGCTGAAGGTCAGACTTTCAAAGCTGGTGTTTTACTTTTCACCATAGGTATTTGTATGCATAAATGTGAACATATTACACAGATTATATGTACTTGTATGCAAATATTTTAATTAATTAATTTATTGTTTGGTACAGGCTTTTACTACACAGCTCGGAGTCTTAGTGATCTTTCTTTCTCAACCTCATCAGTATTGGGACTATAGGCCTGCACCACCATGCCCAGTTTTGGTGGCAGGCATGGCACATTCAGGCTGCAGGGGCTGGCATGGCATGCGATACTGGGTATTGAAACCGGGTCCTTGTATTTGCCAGGCTGGTGCTTAGAGCACTGAGCTATCTCCCCAGCCTGCAAACATACTTCAAACAAATGTCAAATAATAAATAAATAAATAGTCATTTACTTCATGAAATGATATGAATAAGCTTACATTAAGAGAATAAGTAAAATTTAAAGTATTACAACACATAAAGTGCAAAAACCAAACAGGGAAAAGACTGATGAAGATGAAAAGAATATATTCAAAACACCAAAACTAACTACATACTTTTATTATAAAAAAAAAGTGAGAAGCAAACACTACTGGGAAATTTTAAGTCAGTTTGTCTCTAATATCTCTTATGTCATTTTATTCAGGATGTTAACATCATCAGGTAGGTCAACATGAAAACCGGAGTGAAACTTCAGATAACCTATTAAATTTTAAAAATAAAGCAATTCATTTATAAGGCCAAATATGAATGGGCCTTTCAGATTGATTAATTGTTTAATGGCGTCTATTGGGTATGGTTTCTATATGATAAGCACAGCAAGGGAGGTACAATTTAAATACATGATGTACTTGCCTTCAGTCTAGTTTGATTAGGAAATACTGTGGTGAGGAGAGAGCAAACAAAGACAAGCAAGCTCTAATTTAGGTTCACAGGGCAGCCCTATCTCCTTGTGATAGTTTTCTATATTTGTTCATGAGTTTTGCTTTTTTGCATTTCCTGTATTTTATCATTTGAATTGCATGAGGCAGAAAGTTGTTTTCTGTTTGTCTGCTACCTGCTGCCAGATTTTCTATGGGTACTCAAAGTTCTATCCCCTGGGCAAGCACTATTAAAATTACTCAGGAACTTGTAGGAACTGCAAATTCTTTGGTGTCACA